CGACAACTTAAGAGAATGGAAGGTCTCAGGTGGTTTGGCTTGGTTCACCATGCTTGCACTTTTGCATATGTTGAAACATGTTTTAAGTTGTTGCCTATAATTAATGTTGTGAATGTGATGGACAAGAATCACGTCACTCAGGTCATGAAGGTACAGTGTTTTTAATGAACTTCTATTTAAATGTCTTGATTTGCAAAAAAAAAAAAAAGAAAAGATATTTCAAAATGTCAGTCTTTATAACAGCAAATAAATGCTTCAAGTCAAATCCTTTACACAATAAAATAAAAACTGACAGTTCAATTCAAACAATTTCCATGGCAAATCAAATACAACCAATGGCATCACTGCTTATTTTTCTTCTTTCTGAAACATTAATTACACAACTAAAGGTTTATACTGATCAAAACAAACAAGAGTGAAGTAGTTCAACTGGAGACGACTAAAACCAGATTAGTGTCCGATAGAAACATAACGATCATTTTACAATAAAAATATCTGCACAAAAACGTCCAAAAAAAAAAAAGGGCTCAAGGAAAAGTGTAACACAAAAAATATAAATGTTTGCTTTTCATCTTTTCAATACAGTCACAAATCACACAGCTGTGGCAACAATTATCTTCTATCTAAAATGTACACAACTGAAAGGCAAGGATAACAGCCCCAGAGCCCACCCACCCCCCGCCCCCAGACTTGATTGCGTTCGTTTAAGAGCTTATACTGCGAGTACAACAGATTCCCGACTAAACAAAAGCTGCACGTCAATCTTGTATATCAAGACTATCAAAAAGGCACAAACAGACAGGTTGCACAAAGAACTCAGCAGAAGCCCCCTCCAACCCCACCCACAGGAACCCCTTCCCCATACAACTAGTATCACTAAGGTTGTCCAGTGCCCTTCACGTTCTCGCTGACCCCCCTCCCCTCACTCAGAATAAAGAATATCTATAGGCAAGTCAAGTCCCACCAGGCACCTTGGATCACAAGTCCCATCCTGACAAATTCAGAAGCAAGTGCATTTAAAAGTGTGTGACAGATGAGGGTCTGTGGTGAGTGTGAGAAGCACTGGGACACATCAGTGCTCAGGTCACGACTCACTGCAGGCCTAAAAAAAACATGAGTGCAAAATCTGTTGTCACCAATTTTTCCCTCTTTTTAAATTAGATGAGTTCAATCCAAGTTGACAGAACCAAGAAAATCATTTTTACCTCATCGTACAAGAAGTGAAAGTGAAAATGTCACATATTTCACAATAGTAAGTGAATAGAATGTTAAAAACATTTGAACTTTTAAGCTCTTCTGGATTTATTTACTCTTCTCATCACAGATTCAAATTCACTTCATCAATAAGTTTAAGTGTTGTTTTTTGAACAAATCCACGACACATTTGAAAGTTTCACTTAATATCAGATATAAACCAATGGTTTACAAGCTATGTTTTTGTACATCACCCAATTATTCGTCCTATAAACACACGTATAAGGGCAATGTTTTTCTTTTAACTCACTTGTCAACAAAAATGGGTTTTAATGAATATATTTACCTTAAAATAAATGTGATTAACAATCAAGTTTCTAACTGCACAGGTCCGTTGGTACGTCTTAATTCATATTTTAGCCATAACCTTCAATACAGGTTGAATTAATTTTACATTTTTTTGTCAGACAGAAACAGGTAAATCGGGGATTTGTTGCCCTCTCGTGGCTGTCCGCCGAAAATCTACTAGTTACTGTATGTTACAACAAACAAGAAAATACAACTCTGTCTCTGCTCAACTCAGCTAAACTTTTTCACAGACATCCAAAACTAATGCTTTTTATTTGGTTCTGCCCACTCAGATTCTGTTTGAGATAAATGGCTGTAAAAATGAAGAAATGTTTTGTTCAATGTTCAATGTATTTCTAATCAGAGACTGAAAACACAGTTTTTTTTAAAAACGGATGACCATCCAAAGCAGTTTTAATTTAATAATTAAGGAGAAACCATGGACCTCTTGGGACAAGCACTTATGGTTTGTTGTTTTTTTTTTATAAGGAAGTGGAGATGTGGGGAAATAGGAGACAGCCTGTGTTTGTTGATTTAATTTGTGAGACACTGATATATTAGGAAAAAAGAGACAAAACATTAGATGTGTGTTGAAACATGGAAGTTAATGTGATTTTTAGTAGTTTATTCACAGGAGGTAAATTTATAAGGAAATATTATAGATGGTATCATTTTGCTGTCAAATGCTGTATCTATTTAAGTTGTGTTCTGTTACAAAGGCAAACCTTTAGTGTGTGACATCAATTCTTTCCCATGCTAACCTTTAACTGTGTTAGGGCCGAGTTTAATGTTGTCACAGCAAAGGTTCAAGCTGCGTTCTTATCTAATTATGATTTCACATATTTTTTCTATACATTAGTTGTTGCTATTCAGCTAAGCTAAGGCTAACTTTAGTCTATTTTTGGTTAAGTGTAATGAATATATTCTTCTATATCGAGATGGAAAACAATATATATATATATATATATTTGTGTGTGTATATATATAAAATCCATTCCTCCATTCTCGACAACTTAAGAGAATGGAAGGTCTCAGGTGGTTTGGCTTGGTTCACCATGCTTGCACTTTTGCATATGTTGAAACATGTTTTAAGTTGTTGCCTATAATTAATGTTGTGAATGTGATGGACAAGAATCACGTCACTCAGGTCATGAAGGTACAGTGTTTTTAATGAACTTCTATTTAAATGTCTTGATTTGCAAAAAAAAAAAAAAGAAAAGATATTTCAAAATGTCAGTCTTTATAACAGCAAATAAATGCTTCAAGTCAAATCAAAAAAAAGGGAAAAGGAAAAAAAAAAAAAAAAAAAAAAAAAAAAAAAAAAGGAAAAAATAACAACAACACAGACACATAAAAAGGACCATGTGACTGGGAGGTGTGATATACCACAAAAAGGTAGAAGAGAAAGAGCCTGGGCGCTCCCCCTGCAGACCTGCCCGGCTTATGTGGCACTTAACATCGCCATCTTTGTATACAGAGTTTATAACAGTCATGCAAAAGGGCACAGTATTATTCTAACAAGGCGATAGAGAGAGAGAGAGAGAGAGAAGTTGAGGAAATGACAAACCATACAGAACAGAAATGACCAGGGAGGCACAACAAACTCTTCATCTAAAAAGTGAAAGTTCTCTGTAATGAATGAAACAAACAATTCTGTTCTGCTTTAGTCTCTTGTGGCAAAGGTGGAAAAAAATGATGGTGAGATTTAAAAAAAACACCTTAACTACGTTGGTGAATTCACCACTGAGAAAAGAGAAAGGAAATGTTTTACAGCATCAAGGTTAGAAGTTCCTTTTCCGTTTACTTTCCTATCGTCACAATTTCCATTTTAAAAGGGCGGCCTGTGTGAGTGCATTAAGGATTACGACTGCAAACAGATTAACGGTCCTCATCAACATCTACAGAAGTAATGGCTTGAAGCCATGAATATCAGTTTCGGTTTTTTTTTTTTTTACAAAGAGAGAGAGGAAAAGAAGAGAGAATGGCACCTGAAACACGACAGGGGTCGGATTTTTTTTTTTTAAGATGGATGTTGTCACCATGACTTTTTGCACAAAAAAAAAAAAAAAAAGGGTGGGAAAACAACAACGGAGTCTATAT